CATGAAAATTCTTAATAGAGTACCCTCATTTTTTATTGAATTCTTAAAAAACAATATTTATAATGAATTTTAATAATTTTTTCGAATTTTTTTTAAGCTTTATTCTGACCGATTCACCCGATTTCCGATCCGGATCGCCGATTCGTCGATCCGGATCGATTTTTTGGAAGCCCGATCCGAGTCATTGATCCGTTTTTTAAACCATTGCTTTCCAGTATATGGAACTTGGCCAGGAGTTCAGATCTATGATTGGACTCTCTAAAACCCTTGTATGTTGATTGGAAGAATCAAGTGGTGTTAGAGCGGGACGTGGGAAGTATATAGGACGGTGTGTCCGCTAAGTTCTTCGTGCTCTAGTGTTAATGGGAAATTGTGTTGCCAAGGATGAAACAAGAAAAAGCAGAATTGGGAAAGTTAAGGAGAGATGCAGAAATTTACGCAAGCGCCTGTCGTAGATGGTCGTCTGCATTTTGGATAGAATTGGGCTTCATGAATCCATAGCCATGGATGAAGATACTTTCCAGATTATGCCGTGAGGTAAGGAATTGCTCTTTAGGTATGCGCTTCTACACGCCTTCAAAGGAGTGGGTAAAAGAAAATAATATTCATGTTGACATTATTGGATTCTATGGACTCCTAATGCATGACTTCCTGGATTGACTCGAAGGCATGGAGCCGTTCTTTGAATGTTAGGAGCTATCGAATGCGAAGAGCTACAGACTTAAGGGCGTTCCCTTATGTGGTGGCAACAAATTAAAGCAATAGAGTAAGGGAACATAGATGTTAGCTAGTGGAGGAAGGTGAAGTCTTGCTTGGAGGAAGATACACAACGGAAAATGCCCAGGACTCGGTTGAAGTCCTCACCATTGTGCGAAATGCGCCCATGGGGCTTCAAGCAACCTCTCATGCCAATACTTCCAGCTCCTGGTAATTGTCTTCCTAAGCACCCTGCAGAACATTTTGTCCAAGGCTTTGGCGAACTCTTCCGCACGCATCACTAGTCTATATGGAACTTGGCTTGCGGGTGGTGTTAAATCTGGTTCTTGAAAGGCGAGCCATTATTTGAAATTATCCTATCTAAGACTCCATACATATATAAATTTGACGCTAGATGAAATTGGCTACAACCTTTTCTTTGCATCAAGACGACTGCTTCAGCGTACTTGGAGCAGTAATCAATGACAGTCAATATACTTGAAGAAACATGGTCAATAGGGCCAATAATGAGGGGCCTGCTTGTTATGAGTGCATGTGATACTAGGGGCTTGAGCAGATAAGCCCTAATGATATCGAAAGCAATTCAAGCTGCATCATCCCATTTGAAGGGTACATCATTCTTCATCAACCTTGAAAAGTGCCCATGCCTTCCTACAAGGTTAGATATAAACTTTCAAATATATGCAGGTCTCCCATGGAGGGACTTCTGACTCTTGCAGAAGTCTAGGGGTGTGGTAAGTCCTTGATTGCTCTGATCTTTATAGGATTAATCTCAATACAGCAATGCCTGACTATGAAATCGATGAACTTCCTTGATTTTACACCAAAGGGCCACTTCAAGGGGTCATCGAGCTGTTGCACTCAAAGCTTACTGAACAATGTTCACAATCTTTGGATTTAATTATAGGATCATGCGGTTAACGTTCCACAATATCATGCAGGGATTCATCAAATACCATGGTCATTTGTTACTCAAATTGACTCAATTTGGGAGGATTCATATGGACCCGGTTTCGGCTAGAGATATGGGGACATGCATGGATCGACCTACTTCATATTGCTGCCACAGCTTGGCGTGAGAAGCTTGATTGGTACATATACTTTCTCTATACAGTGACCTTTCCAATGCTGTCCTCCTTGTAACTCCTCACCCACTGTATACTTTCTCCCTTCGATGTGGGACGAACTACACACGCTCTCGGTTCACTTCCCTCTCTCTCCATTCACCCAAACAAAAATAAATCACTCTTCCATTTCTCTCACCCCAGTATACCGAACATCACCTTAGGCCAGGTACTCACCATGGGCCTAAGGCGAGTTACTCAGCCAAGTCTGAGCGGATTCGACCGAGAACCATACAAAAAGCTTAAGACAAAAAATCGTAAGAGTAAAAATAAGGGATTATCTATAAAGAGACCATTTATCTTTTGTACATAGTTGTCACAATCATTATTGTCCCTTAAATTTAAATTCTAAAATGGGTAGTTGTAAAAGTGTCGAATAGATATAAAATTCCAAACAAAAATTCTTAAACTTCGTGATTCACTTCAAACCATCCAAATTGACATCTAATGAGTGGGCATACAAAAGCAATTCCTACCAGAGTATCTCTCTAAAGTATCTATCTTCTCTTCTTTCTTGGGCATTATGAGTCGGGGCCGCACTACTTTGTTAGAAGAGAGAGAGAGAGACGGGTTTGGGTAAAATGTTGGGGGAGATGGGTAAAACTAAAACCCTAAAAAAAAAAACTTAAAACTAACAAGTTCGGGTCGGGTATGGGGCGGGTGCACCCATACCTGTACTCATACCCGAAATTTTTTGGGTGCACCTTGTAGGACCCGGACCCTAACCCGCAGGTCCAAATGTTGGACCCATACCCAGACCCGTGTCAGGTATGGGTCGGGTCCTGGTCCATTGTCACTCCTACCGTGGATGTAGTAGCCCTACGAGGTGAACCACATAAATCGTGTATTGTTGTGGTGTGTTTTTTTATGTTTGTTTATTTATTACACTCAATTTATAATTATATTCATCTATTTCACATTTAACCAATTATATACACGATCTCAGGACATCTCAATATTTGGGACTCCTAGTTCTACAAGTTAGGGGTTCCCGAAAACTTTACACTTTGTGGTTGATGATGCTTTGTTTTGGAGGCAGATGCATGCCCTTTTGTAGCTCGAAACGTTGTTTATTTTGGCCGTACGATTGGCTTCAATAGACATGGATTTGACATACAAAGGCAACTCTTACTGGTGTTTGCACTATCAATTTCCATTCAACGGTGCTTTGGATTTTTTTTCGCATAAGAGTTTGGGCAAAATTCAACGGTTCTTTCAAATTCAAAGAATTAGTTATTCTCTTTGAACATTTCATTGTTTTTATTTGTGATTGCTACAGGAATGTCAACAACATCTAAAAATACTGGGGCTTCCAATCCCGTCTGTTCTCATTGTGATGTTCATTATGCTATGTATACATCAACTACTAGAGACAACCCAAATAGACTATTCTATTGATGTATACAAACTAAATGTGCTCGGTGTCAAAATGATAATTGTAAATTCATTCAGTGGTGTGATCGGTACATAACAGATGTCAACCACATGGCAAATTTGAGATGTCGACATGCAACAATGGAGTTGCCCACAAGCATCACATAAACACGACCAAAAAATTATGAACCAATGGCAGTATAATTGTTGACCTCATCCACCTAAGACATATTTTGTATTTCCTATGTGCAACTAATGTTCTTTTTATTATATTTGTTTTTTTCATTTTCATACAACATCTCGTGAGCTTGTAAAATATTGGATTTGATACTTAATTGAAATTATACTTGACATTGTCTAGAGACCGTTTGAATTTTGAAGTGCAATTAAGTTCATGATGCAAACATCTGCTTTCAATTGTTGTATATATATATATATATATATATATATATATATATATATATATATATATATATACTATAG